ACGCACGCACGCACGCACGCACGCACGCACACACACACACACACACACACACACACACACACACACACACACACACATACACACATACATACATACGTACACGTACACGTACACGCACACGCGCACACGCACGCACGCACGCACGATTAAACGACACGTGAACAACTTTACGAATCATACATGTGTACGCTGTTCTGAGTCAACGCATATTTACACGAACAATTTACTACAGACCCTAATGGTAGCCGATTATGCAATTAAAATAAAGTGACGTCAGCTGTAATGATATTAGATAAAATAAACGAAATATACAACATTCCGACTCGGGCTTTAAAATCACACGGACAATACAGAGACATTACATTGGTATTAAGCAGCCTTTATCCATTTCGCTCGTGTAAACAACTAAATAAATGTACCTGCCGATGACGACATCTATTAGACTATTAGGGGTATGTGTGTGTTGTGCGTGCGTGCGTGCGTGCGTGCGTGTGTTGTGTTATTTCACAGCCTCTATAGTCTATACGGAGCCATATTCATATCGTAAATGCGTATCACACTGTGCATACTAAACCCCACAGTACAAACCCCTTACAGAGTTCAGGATTCGAGGGAGTGAGACACGTGCCTATAAACTCGCCATCGAATGAACACGGATGTATGACGGTGGTCACAACCAATACTAGCTCTAGAACGATAGCTCTTCGCGCTGCCACAGGCTGTGCCTATGCTCTGCCTGAGGCAGAGCGAAGGGCTATAGTTCTAGAGCTAAACCAATACATACTCGCGCACTTCCCACGCACAGGCCGATCTAGACTTACTCAGAAAAAAACACGTGTCTCGACGAACGGCATGTGAAATATCGAAATGTCAGATTACTCATTGCAATTTCAAGAAACGCAATCACAACCGCGTTGCCCGCGTTTTCTCGCAACGTACTGGCACAGATGACGCGAAAAGTCGTAAATTCAAGACGCTATTCCGAAAAATCTAACTGTAGCAACAGCAAAACCACACGAGGTTTGCTACAAGATGCACAACGGTATTCCCATCGCGATAATAACGACGCCAGAATAGACGGGATTACCAGATTACGGGCTACCAGGCAAAACCGCACGTTAACTCATTCGCTTACAATATAAATAATTAAAACACTGTACATCTAAAACACAACGACCTGACCCGAAAAATACAAACGCGTTTTCTGTAAGCGCAACCTGACTATTCAATTCATTGTGCAGCTGAGGCATGATAGGGTGGGCGGCTGAGCAGGCAGGCAGTTTCCATAGTGTGTACGCCGCGCATCACATGAATTACTACAAATCAGCAAAAGTTACCACCGTAACGACGCCAGCCGGAGAATTTACAGCCGCTGGTCAACAACACACAGCATTACGCCACGGTGAACTTCTTCTACTTCGCTACTGATCAGGCGACGCCCAATTACGCGAAAAGGCGGCCAAAATCCATTACGGATGAATGGCGCGAACTAGCTGAGACGCGAAACATTTCACAACATTCAGATTAATGTACAACTAACTCCGCGAACTCCACGATCGAGAGAAAAGGGTGCCAATCAGCGCCAATGTCATCGGCATCGGGGCTCATTTGCACATCAACACAAGATGGAACACGAGAGAGTTGTGGGGGCACAATAGTTTATCCCAACGGCCTGTAAGCCCTGTGTACGGCCAACAAGTCAGTCGCGCAGCTAAAGGTGGGGTAAACAAGATGGCCATTACGCATCCGCCATTCTTCGGTCCGTGAACCATTTTAAAGGCCACTTTCGAAAGGAATTAGCGACAAAGGCAAGAACAATTACGGTGGAATTCGCACGCAGATGTATACGGCATTCTCATTCAAATTCGGGCAAATTTCAATGACCGGCGTGAATGAATGTTATCAGGCGCAGCTCTATTCGGGGATGGGCTACCGTGACAAACAGATAAAGACAGCCCTGACAACGGTCCTAATCCACTGCGCCCCCAAACAAATGACAGCTAAAATGACCAGCTGAGTGGACACCAGCGGACAATGATAGAGACACAGGTTACACGACATCTTCCATAATCGAAAACGCACAACGGAGTAACATTAAAATTCGCATCGATGACTCATGAATACTAATAGAGATTTGAGAAGATAATCCTACACGATATCCCCCCAACCTCTTTATCTACCTATCTATCTCTTTCGCGCGCTCGCTTTCTCTCCCTCTCCCTTCGCTTCTCTCTTGTTCACGCTTCCCTTCTCGCCTTGTCTCTCCCTTTCGTTCGCGCCTCCCCCTCTGACTTTGTCTCCCTCTATGTCTCTCCATTTCTGTGTCTGGCACTTTCGGGCCCTCTCCTTCTCCCTCGACCAATTCTTATCTCCACCGCCTAGCATAGGTCACACACAGGCGACCATCATATCCTTATTAGAACAGTATCTACATCATATTTTGTTCAGCCAAATAATAAAGCCATAATACGCTAACCGCCTGCCTCGAACCCGAGCACAGATGTCGGACGACTTCTACTCTAGGCACGCTTCGTACGACCCCACGTCGGGACGCAGTGCGTTCGCACCATCCCCCACCTTAGTGATTAGCAATCAAGGTGTCTGCGAACAAAAGCTTCTAGTGCTAATCAATTTTCGTTTTGATAATCTCGTTTTACCGGTGCCGCGCATTTACGGGGATGGGCAAACCACCTGGGCGGAGCGGCCCCCGCCAGATGGCCCCAAGATTGGCGCACCTTGTCAACCTGCACGCGACACCGGGCAATTAGCGAGCGGCAGAATCGGACAATAATGGTAACGGAAATATGGTAATTCATTTTCGTCGGCGCGTATGTGCGTGGCGCGTGCACAGATTATAGGAGTTGAGCAGAGCAGCGCAAGCCACCAACCTCGACTGCAGCCGCGAGTAATATGTATGACCGAGCAGCTTTAATATATTCATACATAGGTGTTTATAGACGAGCACATTGACCGAGCAGCTTTAATTTATTTATACATAGGTGTTTATAGACGAGCACAATGTCATAGCCGCAGCATTCCGTCTTAAATCGACACTGTGTCGATAGTTATCGATAGGAGAGACGCTCGTTAAGCCTGACATTCGTAATAACAGCAAAGTTGACAATTGCATGTACACGGGGAAGAATATTTTACAGTATTTCGTGCAGAATATATGTTGCAAACCATAACGAACGTAATTCCGGTTATACTAATTCAATAACAAGCATTTGTAGCCATGCGATTAAACAGTACGTACGTCCTGCGTGTTTCCAACAAACAAAGTCCTCCCTGTCATTCAATACGTACAACACAAACCACGCTTTAATTTAATCACGATTCTGTTGCAATCTAAAATATTTGACTGGAAATTTGATTTGACAAATCCATGCATCAATATATTATACACTTATCCCTCAGGCTGAGCCGACTCAGAAAGCTAGAATTGCCGTATGTCTCAGATGAACGTATATATTCACATAAGTCTCGCTAAAAATACGACACAACCATAGCTAACTGAATGGACTTCTTTAAAATAAATGGGAGTGCTAGCTTGTGATGCTGTTAATAAATGCTACATACGGTCTAAACGCCAGTAATCATTGCCAACTGCAGCTACTAGTGGTGACTGCTACATACGCTAGGTTATACATCAGTTAGGCTTGTAATCTGCTGCTACTGATGGCGGCATTTACTGTGAAGCAGAAAACCCCGGTAGCTGCTGGCTGCTCCTCGTACTGACGGACGTTATATATATCTATACACTATTCCTTGCTAACTGCTACTGCTACTGCTGATGCTGTTACTGCTGCTGCTGACGCTGTTACTACTGCTGCTGACGCTGTTACTGCTGCTGCTGACGCTGTTACTACTGCTGATGCTGTTACTGCTGCTGCTGACGCTGTTACTGCTGCTGCTGACGCTGTTACTGCTGCTGCTGACGCTGCTACTGCTGCTACTGCTGCTGCTGACGCTGTTACTGCTGCTACTGCTGCTACTGCTGCTGCTGACGCTGTTACTGCTACTGCATGCTGTCGCTGCTGTCGTGAATGCTCCTGTTGCCGCTACCGCTACCGCTACCAGTGAGTGCTATGTGACGCTATATAACAATGAACTAACGAGTTCACACATCTTTAAAGCGAACTGCCACGAGTAACGCACGTCGTGGCGTACAATATGTCTTTATACAACTGTTTTATGCGTTCATCTGCATTGTTGGAAACCCCCATTATAATTTCGTACGCGTCTCTAAGACACATACTACCAAGCACAAACATATTTTGTCAACAACAGTACACTGGCCATATTTTTGCTGAAGCAAATAGCTGGAATTGGCGAAAGTGCACGTATAAGCGACAGAATTAACTGTAGTTATTTCACAATCCAAATCACAACCGTTCGGCTACTTATCCTATTTAGCCACTTCACATTCCATTCTCGTGTTTATACGCGTATTTTTCCTTCTGTGCGGCCTAATGCGTTTCTGTTATGGCCACATCCACCGAAAGTATCGCACATAGAAGCAGTTGTCGTTATTATACTGTTACGTTGCCGGTGCTTTACGCTCTATATATATGTGGCTCCTCGACGTCCAGTGTTGTAATCCAGGTTCTCCATAATGCGAGCTACTCCTGAATGTAAACACCTTGCTTGCAAACTTTCCCCTGGGAATGAGAAAGAGAAAAAATACATAAACATTTTGGTGTACATCGCATTAGGTTTATCGCAGTTTTGACTTCCCCACAGCGTCCCGATAAACACGCATAAACTGTGATAAATCTAATTCTCTTCAGTTGTCAAGTGATAATAGCTGCTGACACGCCGCTAATTAGCTTTTTTCGTATCCCATAATGAGCTGTTACTGCCCGCCATCGCTATTCCCGTGGGCATGCGCCGCTCCGTTGTTTTGTCCTGTGCCTAAAAAGTGCTTAATTTCTGGCCCGTACTTGAATGGTGCTGATCCAGCCAGCACGGGAAGTGCGCACAAAGGACCACACAATGTATCATTAGCTTTCAAGTCACCGGCCGAGCCTAACGGAGGCCGGGGGTCGGCATACAACTGACACTGATCCCCACTTGAATTGGGTAACATAATAAAACACAAGAGCACCAACTGGCTCGGCAAGTAGTCCTACTTGACGAGATGGGCTCTGGGAGCAAAATAAAGCAAGAATTAGTTCTCAATGAACCGGCCAACTGTGATCGTACGCACACACGCGCGCCACTCGCGGTTGATTATCAAAAAGACGCCGAACGTCTGTATACAATAAATTAAACAACACCAGTACAGAGGGAGGGCCCGCGTAACAAGCAAGCACGCTCTTCAGACAGCAGTCAAGCCACGGGCATCTGTGGCAGAAATGACTGCGTATCACATCACCATACACGCGTCTCGTCAATCCCGCATGAAATGCTAACAAGTGACTACAAAACCACGAAGATCTGAGGGCGTTTGCTACTCTACAGTACAATGATTCGTCTATGGAGGTCTACCGGAAAATACCAAACTGCTGAAACAGGTGCTATATACAGCCGCACGACCACCAACGAACGCATCACAGCGAGCAACTATATTCGGCATCAGAACTGCGAGAAAATTCAATTCAAATTTGTTCAAAATGTGTCAATTGAAAATTCTAATTGTTCACAAATCTTTAAACTTATCACTTATCTTGTTGTGGAAATATAAAGATTTGAGAGCACATGAGATGATGATTGGGCGTGATTATTATGTAAATGCATCACGAGATACGTAGACTGGCAACCAACTATTCTGCCACATAGACAGACATATGTAGCAGTATACGACACACTGTAGCATATATCACATAGCACCAAGAGTAGATAATTGTTATTATCTACTCTTGATAGCACGTATACCGAGTTAGTCTGTCCCTCCGCAAAACAGCCTGTTATGTAGAGTGAGACCAAGTTCATATAAAGCACAACGGCAATTAGACTTAAAATTAACTCATCACAAATGCTCGTCTACAAATAATAGTACAACATAACTTAACCAAACAACATACGTAAGGTAACGTAACATAATGTAACAAAAGCACACTGTACAGCAGAAGAAGTAACAAGAATCAAGCCTAATTTCGTCCGCGTGTGGCATCAAGATTTACTAGCTTGTTCGGTACGAGGCTATATCGCAATTGCTTCGGAATAGTTGCATAACTTTTTGCTAAATAACAGCTAATCGCCTTCATCATCGCAACCAGATGATGCAGCGCAAACAAAACAGAATAGCACGTTGATTAAATATATTATATATATATATAACCTCAAGTGATGCTGTAGACTCATGTGCCTCAAATGCATCACGTATCTCGTGATGCATTTACATAATAATCACGCCCAATCCTCATCTCCTGTGCACTAAAATCTTTCTATTTCCATAACCTCGTTACTGAAAATCCGTACTTTATGACACGCTAAACCAATCGTCGCGCTCAAATAGAGGGTTTGAAATTCGTCTTCAAGCTAGAAGATTACGTAACCTCGCTACACGACGTCTGTGAACTGGATCCGCACTGTAAAGTAAACAGGCAATTTTGCTCGCAGCCACGCAGTGAATACACATTTAAAGTGACAGCCTAATTCACCTGCTCTGACCACATCTACTTAATTTATGCCCAACAAAAGGTATCAGACACGGCGACCTACAGAAACACCCATTTTATGCTGTATGTCGTCATGCGCAAGTTGTTGGTATTTAAAAACATCCAACAAACAGTGAGTGAAATTGCATGCATGCATCCACCCACCCACCATCACACGCACGCACGCACGCAGCCACGCACGCAAGCACGCAAGCACGCACACAGCCACGCACATACCAGACAAGTCTAGATGTAGCAAAAGTGCAGGGTCAGGTTTAAAACAACAAACCAATCCTGAATTACCACTATGTTTAACTCATACATTATATTTTCACATTACAAATTCATTGTTAACCATATTTCAGCCAACCCAAAAAAATGCGAGTTTCATCCTACACGACAGACAAAGACACGGCAAAGTTAATAATAAAATAATAAAATAATAATGATAGTACATACTCGCGCTGCTATTAACGCTAGCTTCGTGAAACTGTCCATCATCGTCTACAACTATTAGTAGACATTCCCTAAATGAATAGAATTCGCTACATGGAACAATTAAACGCGAGCGACGCACGCATATTGTCATAATTATGACCATAATATAGTCGGATCAAAACCCAGAACATGAACTGCGTGACGAGTTGCACATTCTATCATTCTACATAATTTTCAGGGTATTACGGCGGAAGATGACCTCCGGGTGTTTCAAAGTCAGAGAGCTTGAGAAGACAGACAACACGCAAGCTAGGCATGAGCCACGTTAACAGCTGCTTAGAATACAACTTCATCAACCATGGGGAGTCCATTAGACGTGATTTACGACACTACGTTGGCCTATTATCCGGCAGTTACGGACAATACTTGCTGCAATTGCCGCACTTGCCGCCTAGTAGTACACGGTGACTGTGTCACACGTGTAACCGGGGACTCAGAACGACAGAACATAGAATAGATAGACTCAGAAAATAAGGAGACATGTTACGGAAAAACTTGGGACAAATATTACGGCAGGAGAATAGCGTACTAATTCGGAGAAGATACCAGAATTGCAGCCAATGAGAGGCGGAATTACTTATACCCCGTACAGACTGCAAAATTTGATATGGTATCAAACTGGCGCGCGCCAAATCGTAGCGTAGACTGCAAATTTGATCCTACATTAAATGAGTCATCAGTTTTCAATTCAGCTCGCCACGACACCCCACAGACAGCAATTGTGCAATTACGTGATTACGTGACCTAAATAACGCTATGCGTATGCGTATTGCGATTTAGCAGCGGATCTGGCCCGCGTGTTGCGTACAGACACAGCTTGGTGCGGGATAACTTATCCTGGGCCTGGCCCTCCTTCATTTGCGGGGCCAAATTGGTGCGGGCCAGCGCGTATTTGGAGCGGGATAGCGTGTAAACACTGCAAAAATTTGGCGCGCGCCTGACCCGCACCAGTTAAATATACCATATCAAATTTATGTATTAGAGAATGTGGTCGCTTATTAGATGAAAAAAATCGCGCCGTCGTTGTTGAATTATTATTGGATATCTTTGACGATTTTAATGATGCCACACATCGTGAAAACAAGATAACAGGCTGTTTTCTGAACGATTGTTTCGTTAAGTCAACAAGAATAATGCTAATGACGAGTTTTTCATTAAAAGTGCAAGTGTTACTAAGGAATATTTATACAATCCCCGTCAATTATTTCCTAGCGAAAATAATGCGATCGTCAGTTTACCTAATTTTCAGTTTATCCTAATACTCTCTTTTACTATACTACTATTTACTCTCGATTATGTGTACGCAACATAAAAATCAATTCCAGTTCATTGAAATTTAAAACACTTTAGTGCCAACACCTAAATGCGATAATCAAAGCGATGCAACAAGATCCACTCGATTGATTGTGATGTTTTTAACACCGCATTACACAATCATGGCGACTATTCTAACAAGTACTGACCGAACTTGAAACCTCACAGTTTACAGTGCGGAAAAACAATACGACGGAACGAAAACACTAACACGATTCGCATCCGAACACGACTAGTCTCCTTTAACAGAGCGCTTTAAGTAAAGGGACTCTAAAACAATGTCATGGAGGGCATGCAGGCATAGCATTTGTTTAGGTGTTTGCCCGTGAGCAATAGATGCACGAAGCACAATGGAAAGGAAGGAAACACACACACACACACACACGCGCGCGCGCGCGCGCGCCCGCGTTAATCCGGGCACAGTAAGCCAGTAATGGGATTCATCTTTGACGAGGGAAAAATAAGAACAAATAGTGTTTTAGCTGCATATTATGCGACAGGTAGTGCATGCAGCAGCCGAGCACTGCAATAACAGCGGCGTGCACTCTCTCTCACACGTGCTTACGCCGTGTTACCATGCCTAATCCGGCTATAGTCGAAACAACATGACCAAAGGGGGCTTAACCGGCTTCACCTGCAGCAGAACCCGCCACCACGGCAAATCCGCCATAACTGCCGCCATGCGCCGCATCAGCAGGTTCCAATGACGATGCAACAAAATTTATGTCGAAGATGTGAAACAATACGCGGGGCAGAAATGACGAACAGTATAGAGACGGAAAGTGTGGACGCATCCAGTTGCTACGTGCCTGCCCGCATCATACGGTATATGACGCTGCATCATGCTGCGCAGCGACAGCAACTCGCGTGAACACAATCACGCACGCGGGTCTTCTATTGCAGGAGCTGCTACAGAGAAGACAAGCACGCATGAGGGTCTTCTCTTGCAGGAGGTGCTACAGAGAAGACAAGCACGCATGAGGGTCTTCTCTTGCAGGAGGTGCTACAGAGAAGACAACCACGCACGCGGGTCTTCTATTGCAGGAGCCGCTATAGAGAAGACAAGCACACACGCGGGTCTTCTCTTGCAGGAGCCGCTACAGAGAAGACAAGCACACACGCGGGTCTTCTATTGCAGCCTATACATGCATATATGAACGCATGACTCATCCAGAAAAATAAACGCAAGCTAAAACTAGTTTTTAGTTGGTCGAGTGTATACGGCTGGACGCTATAAAATATCATTT